GTTAGTATGGTTACACCAGTCGCGTCTAGAGCCTCCGGCGTTCCGTAGTTTTTACACACAATTCTATTTCAACCACTTCTGTTATCTCCCCTGCTTTGTATTCATGAAACACTCTCAGATTCCTATATAGTTCAAAGGTCACTATGCATATACTTAAAATTTATAAGTACAGTTATTGTTTTTTTAAAGGTTGAAAAAGTTATATTATGGCTTCTTAGTTTTTGGGCTGTTAGTCAGTTCTTAACGGCTCTTGATATTGTTTTAATGGGGTTTTTTTTAACTTCTTGAGAATACCATTTTACTAGAACTGCATTCTCTCCGAGAGAGAATTAATGTGGTCAGTTTAAATAAAGATATTAATTTTAAGAATATCCTAAATTCTGCCAATAATTATATATAGGTGGTAACTGTAGCCAACTTTTACATTCTATAAGTCACTTTATTTAGATGTAAGTTGGGAAAATTACCTGGCTTACACTGGCGGCCAGGTTTCAACACTTTCACCACCATAAAACACGGACAATGATACATCTGCATCGGTGACTGTATAATACTTCGAAAACTATACCTTTTTATATACTCTGTAGTATCTAACTTTACTGCACTAGTGGAAATATATATATATCTATTTTTTTTTACCTGGGTGCTGGTGTGCTCGGCTCTGTTTTCTTATTTTATTTTAGCAAATTACTTTTTCCACTGTTCTTTTTCTGCGTTAGTGAATAGCATTGCTTAAGTGTAGCCTTCGAATTTAATTATATTCAAATTTGACTACTGTCAAATTATTTTATTATTCTATCAGATTTCAGCAAATAACTTTTTTCCGCTGCTCCGTGTGCGTTATTGTATAGCATTGCTTGGGTGTAGCCTTCGAATTTAAATATATTCAAATTTCACTATGGTCAAATTATTTTATTATTCCATTCATACAGCATTTTTATGTATAATTTTTTATTACCCCTACTGCTTTTAGAATTCCATTTGTCAATAATGAACAAACATTTTCTTTATTAAGGAAACAAGCCATCTTCATCTACTTTTCAATTTTGTTCAACAATAAATATTTCCCCTGTTTTTATAAGCAGACATTGTTAAAAGATAACAAATATTAGATGTTTTACGGTATCTGTGATTTCTGTTTTTACACATGGTTGTGATGCATTTGTTAATCTGATTGTATACTCAGCATTGTTTTTGTTTTTTTCTGCTAGACTGAGGCCCCCCCCCCCCTTTCCACCACCCCCTTCCCTTAGAAATAAATGAGGTCATAAACATCGAATGGGTGTTACTTTGCCAAGGGCTGTATTATTGCATATACTTGTGGGCAGTTACCTTTGGGACCCACAATCATAGGTAGGGGCCTCATGCTAGTCTGTGCACACACCAGAATTCAACACTAATTTGCTTTTTCGTGTGAGTGACTTTGTAGAAAAGGCCTGGTCTATTGCTTTGCCCGGAGTCCTAAATGCTGTTATGACGGCCCTGCATATACTTCATACCGGTATTCTAACAAACACCACTGGGTGTGAATATATTGTTTTTATAACTGCTGCAGTAAACTGTTGCTGGTGCTTGCAAAACGTCTTTCAGTTTTGTATCCCCTGACTAAACTGGAATTGAGTGGTGTTGTACCGGAGTGACGAATCTGATAAAGAAAGTGGACAATTTAGTACCGGAAGCGATAAATCTGGTACAGGATAGGGGTCAATGTTGTATTGAAAGCTGACAATCAGGTACATGATGTGATCATTCTTGTACAGTAACTGCATCATCCAGTACTGAGAAGAAGTGATTATGCACAAATAATTTATCATCTTCTATGGGACTTGAATAGTAGTGCACGAAAACTTAGAAATTTTATTTTGATACCTATAATTGTGTGTATAAACTATATAGATAATCTTGCAAAGGTATCTCAAAACTTGGTAAAATCGTCCAAGATTAGGAGAATCTTGCTCAGATATTTCATACTCTTGTAAGAAGAAAAAAACTGGATAATTAATATTGTAAGGTATTTGGGAAACATCCAGAAACACGCGATTTTGTGCAGTAACTGGGTAATCTTGTACATGACTGGGGTAATGCTAAACTGTGTACTTATGTTCTGGAGGATTCTATGTTGCTAATGACAAACACTGCAGTTTTCAATGAAAGAAAAGGGATGTGTGCCACAAAGTGTTCGGTAAGTATCTAATTTTTATTATTTTATTAAAGAGATTATGTCTACATATATAAACATACACATAGCGCAAGCACACATACTACATTGGCCTCTTCTGGTTTAGATGCAGTAGTAATATTTCTAACTACTAATTGTTTTAGAATTTTCTCTTGACGTATTTCTGAATTTCAATTAGTTAGTAAGTTTTTTTTTTTGTTTTTTGTTTTTTGTTTTTTTTTAGTTATACTTCTGACTTATGTTTCCAACTTTCTCTAATACAATAAGTTGCTAGGTTTTATCTCATAACTTTTTTTCTGGAAAATCAGTCTTTGACCTTCAACCTTGCTTCCGAGTCAAGTTTTATATTTACTCACACAAACACACATACATATACATACACTCACACACAATAACTGTAAACCAAACTGCATTTAGTTTATTCATGCAATAACTGGTTGACACTTTATATAGGTTCTGTTGTCCAAGTCCCAGTTCACCCTAGTCATGATTTAACCATATTCTGCCTCATGTATTCTAGAATATCAAATACATTCCATCAAATATGCGAATGATAAAACATTTCAAATAAATAAGTAGATTTTATGAAATCTTTTCCCCCATTCACATTAGTACATCTTTATCTTTATTCATTCACAATTAGTTGTACTGACAAACGCTTTTACTGTAAACATGCTATTTATTTGCTTTTCTCAGACAAGCTTCGTGTAACAAATGTGGATATTAATTATTAACAAGACTAGTCGTTTTATCATCATTAACCGATTTGCTGGTGTTTTCCCGGCATCGTTAACACGTTTGTTATTAAACCACACGTTGTTCGTACCGCCCCATTTCTGTGGACTATATTTGCTTAGTACTTTCAGTGTTGCCGTAGCTTGTTTTAGTCGTTGCTGTTTGCAAACAACACAGGATTTTTCCAAATCAAAACGAAATTTAACAAACCAAAATTTTATTTAAAGGGTAATGTTAATGTTCTGTTTTTAATGGAAGTATACTATGCTCTTCAAAATGTATGCATTACATGTATCTGTGATTTTTATTTGGATATGCATAAGCCTATTCAGTCACTAGCTTACACCCCCAAAAAATGTCTCTTGAAAGACATTATTTATATCTACTCCATTGACTCTAAGGCGATCCACAATTTGATCACGACACCAGACGACTACAAAAATCAAAACGGTGAATACACAAAAAAATTCTATGATGAATTTTTTTGTCATCACCGGGTTAACCCCCACGCAGGCTACTTTGTAACCATCATGGATTCCCCTAATATGGCTGTTTTACACCGTTAAATAGGATTTATGGGAGTTGCTTCTGTTTAATTAATGTCTGAATAGTGACTCCTCCCTGAATCACTGGGTATCAGTCTCTCTTAGCCTCAGAGACGGGAACGTTAACAGTTTTATTACGAAATAAACGATCACAACTTGAAAAATTTTAAGCCTCAATGAACAAGAAATTTTGATAAGATAACCTGCCATTTCTGGACCGCAGGTTGTTTGTAACCGCCAGGTGTGCCCCAGATATAGCTGTGCTCTACGGTTAAACGGGGTTGCCGGGTTGTTCTACTCTTTGATTTACATTCATGAGATGTTAATCAAAGACTGAGATTTTGACAGGGACATTTTTTTTCTTTGTTTTAAAGACTAATGGGAGACGGAAAAGCCTAATCATTCCAACAAATGCACAAGCAGGTTTTATACTCAATGCTCTTTCAAAGATACTGATTTTTGAAACTGAACTTTTTAATAGTTCATGCTTATTGTTGTTATGGAAACGTTTATGTTGTTACTGGGTAGGCCCAAATTATGTTATAAATGTAACAGTCACGAAATTGATTATTGTTAACCGTGTATGTTTAGTGAATATTGGTTCTTTTTTGGAAACACGCAGTGCTGCAAAGTGTTTATTTATCCAACTCTGGCTTTCTGTCATGCTGAATTCGTAATAAAAGTTACCAGAAATGAGCAAACTACCTTGACCCTTGCTTTCTCACTTTGTCGTCTGTGTGAAAGGGACGCCATTTTGCCTACGTGCGCGCGTCAGGGCATTTATAAAATATATGTTTAGAACTATATACTTTATGCACTACTAGTATTACCGTTCCTTTACTTTGTTGTACAAGATAAAATATATGCACATAGCACGGAGACGGGTCCTAAATTATATTTTAGTTGAATGTGGTTGACAAATATACCCACCGAATAATCTTTGCCTAGCTCAGTTATTCCCAAACTGTGCGCTACGGCGCCCCGGGGATCGGTGACCTCTTCACAGGGGCGCCGCGAAATAGTCGAAGATACACGAGTTTTATTTGTTTTGATCTATCACATACGAATAGTCATACTTTTACTTAGGTTAGGGCGCCGTGGAAAATTTTAATTGAAAAAAAGCGCCGCGACTAATACAAGTTTGGGATACACTGGCCTAGCTAATAAAATAATATGCAGAAAAACGAACGAACATTTGAAACTTTTTTTTTTCAACGGTTACAAACTGGGTATGAAAAGTGGGTCTTACATTTGGGATGAGATATAACTGACACGCTAAACAGTCGTTAAATTCAGTAACTTACGTGAAACGTGAGGTCAAATTTTTACTCTCGTGCCTCCGGCGGTTAACTGCATTAAAAATGTCAAGATTAAAAGATGTCGAGATGGAGAATCTCACAGAAAAACGCAGTCAAGGTAACAACGTGGAGAGAGTGGTTTACAGGTGACATCTAAGGAAACTGACAATTTTACTATGACATTGCGGAGTCATGGAAGTATTCTTCGTCTTTTATCTGTGAATACAGTGCAGTAATCTTTCC